AAAAGTTTGTACTTCCAGAAGCATTACACACAATTAATTTTATTTATTTTTGTGATATAAAAATAACTCATCAGCTTCCTCATCTGTTGGTTTAAATACTGCTGTTGTCATTGCTCCTCTCGTCATTGCTCCTGAGCGCTTGAAGAACCTCAGAAAAAGACAACAATAATAACAGCTTGTTAGGTGGGTAAAATAAAAGGTACGTAATATAACAGGTTAACCTGATCTCATGAAAGTGTGTATAAATAGTATGCCAAATAAAAACAAAAACTCGTGGTATTGATACGCAAAAATGACTTGGGCGTGTATATGCTACGCAGTCATATGCACGCCAACAAATTTTGTATCATATGCATGCAAAAAATGCGTATTATATGCACACCAAACACGTGCATATCATATGCATGCCAAAGTAAATTTTTGCGTATCAATACCACAAGTTTTTGTTTTTATTTGGCATACTATTTATTCACATTTTCATGAGACCGGGCTCAACAGGTTGTATACATCAGTAAAACATCACAGGTTTATCACTGTATGATAATTTCTCCCTTCCTCTTAAAGTTTTATATTGCTTTGTTAGGTTTTGCCTTTCTGTTTTTGGTTACTGCTATGTCCTATTGTTATTATTATTATTTATTTTATTTTTAAATTGTTTTGGGATCTAGCACAAAATTGGAATGTAAAACTATAATAATATTTTTAGTTTGCAAATCTATGCACCTATTCCTACTGATAATATATTAGTGAAATGCTGTTGTGTTCAGCATCTGCTCTTCACTAGATCTACTGAAGAGATTCGACTGAATCAAGATGCTGCTGATGATTGAAGCTCTTCTTCTCATTTCAGCTACTCTACAGGTGAGCTTAACTTCTAGTATGAATATTACAGACATGAATACTGATGATTGATCATTATGATTCCTGTTGCTGCAGGATCACAGAGCTGCTGCCGCTGATGGACAGATATTTCCATTGGATATGGCTCTAGATTCTGTTGATGACCTTTATGTCGGTTGCAAAAAGATCATGGCTTGTCTGGTGGAGAGTGTATTGCTAGAGAATGAACTCTATAACTCACCTGAATTCAGAACGGTTTGGCAGGTTGCTGTAGATAATTATGAGCCTCCAGAAGATGAATTGAAAGTGATCCATTCAGTTGCCATTTATGTGTACACTAACTCACGTTATAATCTATATCAGGATTTTAATCATGCTGTCCGTAGTGATAAACAAAAATACAAAGACAAGTCATATACATGGTATTCACTTCAGTTTTTGCTAACAGAAGCAATACAGATTCTGAAGGAAACACAAAATGGATGCAAGTCAACTTATCGTGGAACAAACATTGAATTCAATAAGAATGTTCTGAACAAACAGGTTCGTTTTGGCTCATTTACATCCTCCTCTCTTAGTAGTACAGTAGCAGGACATTTTGAAACTAAGTCTTGTTTTGAAATCACAACTTGTGAAGGTGCTGATCTGACAAAATATTCTACTTTTCCTAATGAGACAGAGGTGCTGATTCCTCCATATGAGGTGTTTAAAGTTAAAGAAATCAAGACAAGAAGTGTTCAGAAAGATCTCTGGTGTGAAACTGTATTTGTGTTGGAAAGTATTGGAGTAAGAAGTGACCTGAACTGTGATTTGTTCAAGAGACCAACCAAGTCTATAACAAATAGATCAAGATTTAGGAAGTATCAATTTAGACACTTTTATCAAAAACGACGTAGATTCCATTCAAGGTATAGAGATAATGTGTTCTCCAGCTTCCAAAGAATTTATGAGGACCCTTTGACCTTGGCGTTGCGATTCTGCCCTTCTGTTTGAGCTGTTGTAATACTTCAAATGTTGAGTGCTGATATACATGATTACATGAGTTGCAGTGGTTTCACACAAATCAATTAATTACCTACAAACAAATAATTTCGCCGCCTTTGTCAGAAAATATGATTTGTTCATGTAATTTTTAAATTAAGGATTTAAAGATCTAATTTTATTTTGATTGCAGCCTGTGTGCAGCTTCAAGAAAGCAAACATACATCTCTTTTGCACTTCACATTTCTCTGTCTGTCTCACTGTGATTTAAAATGTATTAATTTAATACTTTAAATGTTTATATTATTTTTCTATTGCTGTTTAATATAAAGTTGCATAATGTGTGTTAACAAGTTAGAGACCAGTCAATGTCTCTAAATATTGTTTTCAGCATCATATGTCTGTAAATCAGTCATTTTTCATTTCATTGGCTTTTTTTTTAATAACACTTGTTGAATGCAACTAGATTATTCAATAAATTCTAATTTTACCATGAATTTTTAACATGTCTTCTGCTTCCTGTTCTTCTCCCTCTGTCTGTCTCTTACATTGATGCATTGATGCACAGGTGTAAAGAGTACATGAAAAACATACTTGAGTAAAAGTGAAAATTACCTTACAATGAAAATTACTCTACTACTAGTGATATTACGTTCAACACGGAAGCTCCGAAGCTAATTGTATCAAAAAAAAAAAAAAAAGACGAGAGGGATAATCCAGGACAAGCGAAAATCAGGAAACAGGCAATCAGGAAACTAGACTTAGACAATTAGAAACTCCAACTAGGACCGGGAACTGGCTCTGTAAAGTAGCTATCGACTAGCTATCGATATGCGCTTACAATACTCGGCCCTGAATGGTTGTTTGAGACTGATTCTTATAGTGGGTGTAATTGGTAGCAGCTGTGTAAATCAATCAATCGGTTCACTCCCAGCAGAATCGGTATTTTAACGTTTCTGTTCCAGCGTTCCTCTGTATTATTACCGTTCCGACAAAAAAAGAAAGAAAAGAAAATAGAAGTTGCATATATAGGCTCACGTAGCATTTTTTTTTAGCCCTATTACATTCAGAAATGTTCAGCAATTCAACATTCAGCAAAATGTTTACAAACATTATAGACACAGTTATTAGTTTCTCTCCACAACAAATCCTCTAAAGTTAAAGGGTTAGTTCACCCAAAAATTTAAATGAGCCCATAAATTACTCACCCTCAAGTCATCCTAGGTGTATATGACTTTCTTCTTTCAGACGAATCCAGTCGGAGTTATATAAAAAATGGTCTTTGATCTTTCAAGCTCTATCGTTGTACTCAGCGGGTGTTGCATTCCTTCTGTTCAAAAGACATGAAATAAAACTGAGCAAAAATCATTTCTGGCTAATCACTTTTGAGGGTTCCTATCCACCCCCGACTTGGTGTGGGCTAGCCAATACCAGGCGTGAATTTTTGAGCGGTAGAAGTT